TATGATAACGATTATTTATCTGATAGATTATCGATGCACTTGAAACTCCAGTTTGTCATACTGCGTTTTTATATTATCGAAATGAAAAGATTAAATCTCGTAATCAGTTACATATGATATTTTATATATCGAACGTTTCATTTCTACAAGGTTACATTTTATTGAAATTTTAATATAACGTTACATTATACTAACATAACACAATATAAAATTATATAAAAATCAAGAGAACTTTCGCATTTTTATGTTATCGCAACTTTATAATTCAATCTATGATTACAACTAAATATTTGAATTAAGCAACTCTTAAAAAATGTAGAACACAAGTGGTGAAATTTTTAATTTGAGGATACTGTGGAAAAGCTAAACTTTGATAGACGAATTTGTGTCTTATATGTTCAGATACTACGATCAGTACCATTTTTGTAGATAATATAGACTAGTATTATCGTCCTGTGTATTTTATAACGTCCTATTGTATTTCCCTTATTTTTCGAAAAAATATTACAGTCGTACCATTTTTCTACATTTCCACTTAATTTATCACCGTAGCTGGATATTGCAATCCGCTGTTATAAATTTCAATATCCGTTCCATCATAGTAACTTTCTATCATAATTTTACACTCCAATCCATTGTTGCAACTTGCTATTTCAGCTTAGCATTTCAATTTCGCATTTCAACACTTTTGCTCGATGACATAATACAACGATAACAAGCACTTTCACGTACACCATTCTGCGGCTTTTCCTTCGCCATTATCATGCCATTTAATTCACAACTTCTCTTGGAAAATACAAATTTGTCGTACAATATAAAACCATTACATTGGAACGCATCTCCTACGGTCCATTGGTCTGCGCGGATACAAAGTTAAATATAAATCAGAGAAGAAAATCGTAAATGAAAATTCAAGAATAATACGACATTTCGTTCGCCATTTTACGAATCTGTAAGGATTTCGAAGCAAGGAGAAGCATAATCAACGCGAGGATTAATTCTCCGTAATCGCAATACGAAATAAAAGGTTTCATTGTAAATTTCCGCGTTACGTTGCTTCGCAATTGGAGCGTACACGGGCGAAATAACTTTGCTCGTCGTGGAAGACTTTCATGCAACGTTCGCGTTATCGTTTATCGTTCTACGAGGTTTAAATTATTAACTTTCGGTCGAGTCTTCTGTAGAATATTGATCAGATCATATCCCACGTTCTGTGTATCGTTTGCTATATTCCATTCTCTGTTTCCTCTTTTCCTGCATTCTAAATCAAATAATCGATTTTCCTAAACCCACTTCCTATATCCTATTATCAGAAACGCATTACGAGTTACATAACAATTACAAGGGAAAACAAATTTATTTTTGAGTGGAAATAATATATATTTGACGAGAAAGAAATCGTCACTTGTCAGAAAAGAAATTCGCTATTTCACAAATAGAAATTCCAAATGCAGTACTTCGTGTGGTACACCCTATATATACGTAACCGGAAGCGTGGTTACGGAGTTACGAGCCATGTCTGGCTTCTTGTCGACAATGATCGCGTCGATATTACGGTTAATACGCAACCACGATTGTTTTCTATCGGTTTCTTGTTTTACGTGACAGGAGGATTATCCGTGGAGCTTTCGAAATCTCAAACGTAAATCTCGCGAGAACGTTAGAATGTCATCCCCATTTCGAAGTAGAAATATTACTCATCATTTCGGTAGAAATACAATATTATATTATCAAGCTGCGAATGTTCAAAATTGAAGATTCAAAGATGCATATAATGCACATGATATGCAAAAATATACACGGTGGTTGGTAACTGGTGGTACAAGCGGAAAGGGGGTGATACTACGCGAAAAAAGAAGTCGAAAATATAGAATAAAAATTTAAAAATTTAAAAATTTAAAAATTTAAAAATTTAAAAATTTAAAAATTTAAAAATTTAAAAATTTAAAAATTTAAAAATTTAAAAATTTAAAAATTTAAAAATTTAAAAATTTAAAAATTTAAAAATTTAAAAATTTAAAAATTTAAAAATTTAAAAATTTAAAAATTTAAAAATTTAAAAATTTAAAAATTTAAAAATTTAAAAATTTAAAAATTTAAAAATTTAAAAATTTAAAAATTTAAAAATTTAAAAATTTAAAAATTTAAAAATTTAAAAATTTAAAAATTTAAAAATTTAAAAATTTAAAAATTTAAAAATTTAAAAATTTAAAAATTTAAAAATTTAAAAATTTAAAAATTTAAAAATTTAAAAATTTAAAAATTTAAAAATTTAAAAATTTAAAAATTTAAAAATTTAAAAATTTAAAAATTTAAAAATTTAAAAATTTAAAAATTTAAAAATTTAAAAATTTAAAAATTTAAAAATTTGAAAATTTGAAAATTTGAAAATTTGAAAATTTGAAAATTTGAAAATTTGAAAATTTGAAAATTTGAAAATTTGAAAATTTGAAAATTTGAAAATTTGAAAATTTGAAAATTTGAAAATTTGAAAATTTGAAAATTTGGAAATTTGAAAATTTGAAAATTTGAAAATTTAAAAATTTAAAAATTTAAAAATTTAAAAATTTTAAAAATTAAAAAAGTAACGTCAATCGAGACAACGATCTACAGTGAGATCCATTATAACGAGACGTGATAAAGTGCACGCGTACCAAGCGAAAATTCAAAGTCGATTTTCTCGGAAACAAAGCCTCGAAGGAAAAATTTTTATTCTATATTTTCGACTTCTTTTTTCGCGTGGAATCACCCCCTTTCCGCTTGTATCACCAGTTACGAACCACCCTGTATAAAATATCCGAAGTACAGCGATCGTTATGATATTTAATGGGCGAAGTAAATTGAGATTACGGTCTACTTATCGCTAGTGTTTAAAAAAGAAAAAATTGCTACGATAAGACGCGTAATATTTGTAAAGAAAAAACATCTATAAAAGAAAACAAGGAGAATCGTGGAAGAAAAATATTTTAAAGAATTTCACGATAAATCTTTGCTATTTTTAGCATAAACTTTTCAAAGAAAATTGATCATAAATTAGAAAAAAGAAACGCGACGTTGAAAGAACGAAGATTGCAGAATATTTATGCAGAACATTCGCGGAGAGTTTAATTCAGTATACGTATCACGATGGAAAAATCCGAGCTCGACGTCAAATATCGTGGCCTGATTTTCGGGTCAAACCGTGTGGCCAATTTGACTGTATGAGAAATTAAAGTATAGATTGGTTGCCGTGTAGGTTTACGTAACACGCCTGTGCTTATCGTATAAATCGTAATTGTATCTGTAATTCGATCGCAGTTACGTTAATGCCCGTTATATACAATAGAAGAATCGTATTAATGCACGTAAGATCTCGAGGAAATCTTGATGTTATTCAAGTAATCACGTGATATAAACATTTGTTTCATTAGAGAACAACCAGAGTAGAATTACAATGATGGACTATCGTTACTCCGCACGCGAAAAAATGTCTGTTGAATTTTATTATCTTGGCGCAAGAAATTTGACGATTCGTTAAGCCGAATTTACGCTGGTTCAGTTTGTAGAAACACAGCGGAAGAACGCTGCTTTCGGCGGATGAAACGAGGATGATAAATTCGGTTTTAGACACTTTGTTTAATAATAAGTAAAAATTAGGATCGAGAGTAAAATCTATAAATTCAAGTCGAGATATTTAATTATTTAATCATTTACTCATCGATAAAGTAGAAAACCAGCCGATGTTTTGCAATATTTAACATGTATAAAGAATAAAAATTGAGTGATATATCCCGTTATTCCTCTCAAAGCATTCACCAAACTTAATTTTCTAACTCAATACTTTTCAATTTCTTCGATATCTCGTGTGATACATTTTAGGCTACATATTCCAGTGACTTGCACAATATTCTTTTTCGATTTATTACAAAAAGGAAATATATTAAATTGTAATTTTATTTTGGATATTTTATATATTTTTCTAAAATATATGTATCCTATACATTGCTACAAATTTCTCATAAATGCATCAACATGCGCAATCTACTAATAACATTAGTTCAGTCGCGTAGCTTTCTGCAAGTCACGTAACGTGATAAAAGGATAATTAAAAAATTCTGTACTCGAATGATAAATTTTTCCATTAAATATACTATCGCCGAGCTGATGCAGAAAACACTTCAAAAACGAGTGGATCCATATCCCGTTATCCTCAATCGTCTTTTGTCATACTTCGTCGTTCAGTTGTTTCATTTTTGACCGACGATGCTCATCGAAGGATCCTCGTGGCGTCGTTTCCGGTACTCATACCTCGAGACGTTCCTCTTTTTCGACCAGGTCCGCGTGTGATTTTCGCTATCATGATTTTCGCATGGTCGATCACCTCCGAACATCGGCTGGACGATCGTTAAATCGCCGCGAACTAAATGATATTAAAAAACACCAAGCAAAATTCACGAACGATCGACAAAGAAATCCCACGCACAAATGATCCACGAGCCATATGTTGAAAATCATCCTCCGATGTTCCTATTTTGCGAACGGTTTTAGTAGGCCCGACTCTTTCCATGTCTGCGAGGCGTCCCACGTCTTCTTCGGGTTGAGATGATTTGGCTGATTGAACGTAGGTTCGTTTTTAGTCGTCTTCGATGGTGAAAAGAGAGAGGGGGAGGGGAGAGTATGTTTTTGATGATAATAATTGAGGTAATCCTTAAAATATTAATTTTCAATTTCAAATGGCCAATTTTTATTAGGTTTCCTTTGATATTAATAAATGGATATAGCGAGCCGTTATGTTAATATTTGACGGTAGCTGACGTTTTGTTACTTTATCCAGCTTCCGAGAAAAGATATTATTCTGTACAATTGAGTAATGAAATTGGAATTATAAAATATAAAATATATTATATTAATGTTTATATTGTATTGTATTAAATGCATGAAATGTAAATTAAATAAGTTTAGAACTTAGAGATTGCTTTTCCTCTACAGTAAATGATTAATTGGTTTTTGTTTAATTTCAGAAACATTCAGGATATCATCCAGAGGGAAAGGATCGGTGTACAGCAAAGGCGGCGGTAGTAGGACATTGTCCAAGCGATTTTTAAAAGGCAACATCATCACTTTCGACCGGTCTAATCGTTCGTTACGAGCCACTTGTGAATTAACCACACCAACCTTGTACCCAGGCTTTCTTAGGGGCACAAGCAACGGACAGGCAGCGTGTATGATCATTGAAGACTATCCCCCTCTGCCCACCAAACCGAGGCAATATTTGCATCAAGATACCACCCAACGATTTCTAAATCATTTAGTCCTGCCTAAGCACAGGACCTCAAAATTTTCCAGGTTAATATTTAGGGTAATAAATCGTATAGACATTAGCTCATTAGTCGTAAGGGACATTAGTCTCTGTAGACATGATCTGAATTTATGAAAATTATTACATTATATACAATTCGATTCAAATATTGAATTTTTAATACGTACTTTAATTTTTAGTAATAGGCATCGGAAGCTACAGCCGTTCAGAGAAACGTGACTGGCGTCAGCGGGTAGTGCGGCACACGTTACCGCAGACAACGAAAATCACCCTGACTCGATACGTAACGAGCTACCATCGGGTAGCCATTGCCTGGCAACGTCGCTGCACAGCAATCAAACTGCCGCTGGAAAACGTGGAAAGTAGATCCAGGAGGACGAGGACGAAAACGTTACCTACTTGAACGTCAAAAGATTAGGAGCCAGGAGATCCAGAGAGAACAAGAGTCACCGACCGAACGAAGCTTGGTAGCTTTCAACAGTCTGACACTCGCGTCACCACTTGCCGACAGCTCGTTTTCACAACGACGTCTCGTCAGAAATTGCTGTTGTCGCTCGGAAGGGACATTAATTTAGCAAGGAGCAAGAGACGGAAACATCATCAATCACCATGGGGAGTGTCAATGTAAACCGTAATGTCAGCGATGCGTTTTACCGCTATAAAATGCCACGGATCCAAGCCAAAGTGGAGGGCAAGGGAAATGGTATCAAGACAGTAATCGTGAATATGGTCGATGTCGCCAAAGCCATTGGGAGACCTGCTACCTATCCTACCAAATATTTCGGCTGTGAGCTTGGAGCGCAGACCCAATTCGATTTCAAAAACGAAAGATTCATTGTAAATGGATCGCACGATGCTTCGAAATTACAAGATCTGTTGGATGGATTCATCCGCAAATATGTATTATGCCCGGCTTGCGATAATCCCGAGACAGAGTTGATGGTCAGCTCGAAGAAAGGAACCATTTCGCAAGGATGTAAAGCATGCGGCTATCACGGACTATTAGAAAGTAATCATAAATTGAACACCTATATCTTGAAAAATCCACCGAGCTTGAATCCTGCTGTTCAAGGCAGCTCTTTAACTGAGGGTAAACGCGGTAAACGTTCGAAACGTGCGAATGGTGAAACAACTACCACTACAACCACTGCTACTGCTAATGGTGATCGATCTGGTTCTCCGGAGAACGATACCAGCACCACCGACATCGTGGTCGAGGCTCCTGAAAAGATGGCGGACGAGAATGGAGATGACGATAATTGGGCAGTCGACGTGTCGGAGGAAGCAGTTAGAGCCCGTTTGCAGGATTTAACAGATGGGGCAAAGGGAATGACTATTAGCGATGATCTCGATAAGACTGAAAAAGAAAGGATGGATATGTTTTATAAATTAGTTAAATGTCGTCGCGATGCTGGACAATTGGATAACCATAAAGAGCTGATTGCAGAGGCTGAACGTCTAGAGATCAAGACAAAAGCACCATTGATTTTGGCGGAATTACTCTTCGATCAGAATATTGCTGCTCAAGCCAAAAAGTATCGAGTACTTCTCCTTCGTTTTACCCACGATGATATCAAGGCACAAAAATATCTAATTAGAGGAATCGAACAAGTGATAGCCCTCCATAAAGATGCTTTGATGCCGAAGGTACCTGGCATTCTGAAGGTAAGACAAATTGCTGATATGAATTCTTCTGTAATTGTTATGAGTATATGTTTTAATTGATAGACTTTGTTTATTGTTTTAGCTCTTTTACGATGCTGATATTTTGGAAGAAAAAGCTTTGTTCGAATGGTCGAACAAGGTGACTAAAAAATATGTATCAAAAGATTTATCCCAAGAAATTCACGATAAAGCTGCACCGTTTTTAACCTGGTTACAAGAAGCAGAAGAAGAAGATTCTGAACCAGAAGAAGAAGACGACGATTTAGAGGTAAATGTTTGTTTTGTAAATAACTTATATTTCTATACAATTCCAAATTATACATATAATCTATATATTTGTTTCTGTTATAGATTGAATATGACGATAGAGCCAAACAGTCGCTAAAACCACAACAGTCACCGCCTATACAGAAGCCTGCTGTAGTCAATGAAGACTCGGATGATGAGGATGATTTTGATATTGATGCCATTTAAAAAAAAAACGACAAGATGCTCAGATGTCGGACATAAAAAATAGACAAAAAACGACAGAAAAATATATGTCCGATAAACGATCATTTCTCACACGATACAAAGAGTCGCAATGCAATCTCTTATTATAATATAGCATTTTGTTATTTTAGGCCAAGGAGTGATTATAAATGCCATTACATGTATGAGAAATTTTAACTGTTCTCAAGTTAGCAATATTTATCTGTACGGTAATACTTTTAATTGTTTTTAATAAGGCGATTACGAATTAATCTATATCATTATTCTTAATTATTGAGAGGTTTTAAAAAGAAATGAAAACGAACGATGCTTCCATACATTGATATGCATCTCTTTTAGAAGAAAAAAAAATATTGATAGTTCTCTGCCGTTATTGGGAAGTTGGCCTGCTAAAAACGTTCTCTATTGTATCTATTTACTATTCAAATAATAATTATTCAAATAAATATGGTTTACCGCAATATATCAAGTTCTTTCTTATTTCCAAAGCATTTCCTCCATTTGAAAAGCATATGTATGTATATAGTATGAATAAGCAATGAAGTAAAAATAGGTATAATGAATGATGGCCTAGTTAGTCATCATTACTTGCATCTATATCTCTGTTCTTTATCGTAGCTAAATTGTTAATAATTCACGCCAAAAAATTGCATATTCTATTGAGCGAAACGTCAATTCCTACTAGATGAGCTATATTATATCTAAATCGTTTACAACGAACGAATTAATGGTACGGTATGTAAAAAGAAACCAATTTTACATTACGATGTCGCTTCATAGAAACCGACGAATTTCAGAAAATTCCAGTAACTGGCGCTGCGATCGAACAGAGTCGCTTCAATCGCGTTTTTATAATTGACCGACTGTCGACGTACATTCTGGATATTTTGTCGTCAATTTATTCGTTCTAAGGAACGCATTTTATATTTGTACGGGATTTGACGGTAGTCTACATTATTATCAAAGTGTAGACTACGCTTAATGGCTGTTTATTCAACATTCGGACTGTAAAATATGTGGTTATTGTACTTTTATTAACTTATACTTGGTCCACGCCATCTTAGTCTGTCATCAAACGTGCAGAAATAAAGTTTAGTGCCTCTTTTCTCGTGTTCCTTCTTGCCGGTGGAGACGATTTCTAAACGAGAGTTCAATCAACTATTCCTTCGTATCGTGAGCATCGTTTCACAGTGAATCCGCGACCGAAATCGGTGAGTGGAATCCACTTTTTTCAACATTATCGTCGCCGTGAATCATTATACATCGTCGTTGCACCGATTGTAAAATATTGTATGAGCTAAATCTATAAGAATCTACGCGTTCAACGTAAAAAAATTCTTTTAAAGGTTCGTCGCATCGAGGCATCCTGCCCTTTATTAAAAAAGGGGGATGATACACTGAACAGGGGAGAATTCCTGCGTGGACCGTTCACAAGGGTAAGCTTTCGTTCACCATCAAATTTCCGAATATCTTTTGCGTTTCTGGTCATATGAATATAATCAGACTCCTCGGTTTTAAATTGCCACGCCTTCGATAGGCGGTTACAACCGGAAGCAAATGATGTTAATTTGTTTCCGTAAGATTCTGCGGAACCATGACAGAAAACCAGTGACCATGACGATGATTGTAATGATAATTATCCCTATTCTGGTACACTTAGAAAGGAGCGCGTTTCATTGGATTTTCACTAATTCGTTAAAAGGAGTCAAAGTTGTTGCGTTAAGAAAAATGATTCGGTGTCATGTATCATTCGGTTCTGTTATGTATTCTATGCGTATCGTTACATAAATGAATGTATGTAGATAAGCAAAGATTAATCGTAGAATACCGGATAAGTGGAGATAGGATTAACAGTATATCAATCTATTTTTTTTTTAATTGATTTATCTTTTTTGTTTGTAAATATTCTTCCGTGAGCTTTTTATCTATTCTATGTGCAGTTATTGAACATCTAAAGGTAAAGAAACTAGCACAGGTGTTCAATTGACTATCGTATTATGCAGCCCGAATTCCTAACCTCTAAGAAATTAGAAAACTATAGAACAATTCAAAGGAGTGGTTCTATTATTTATTCAGATATTTCAGGAACTCGTATAATGGAGTTTTTAACGTCTTCTATAAATTGTCACCACAATTGGTTATATATGCACGAAGCTTGAAACGAGTATGCAATTGTTATATGATATGAATTTCAATCAGCGATTCAGCCGTTACTCTTTACAAATATAGATCTTCGATTGTTTCACGTTGTGACGACCATTTGTAGTTGAAAATTTCATTATCCTACCTGTACTGTCACTGACCTCTTTCTACTGTACTTTCGAAAATACGATGCAAAATTTTACTTATCAAGTTATAGATTTCTAACTACATATGTATCAGTAAATGTGAAATGGAACTGGGTTACTACTAACATATGCAACATTTTTTAGACAATTTTAAATTTTTATTTAAAAGTTATTACATTTCATATTTTTCTAGGGTAAAGTTTTTAAGATAAAAATGGCGCTTTGCCATGTAAGATAATTGTATTAAACCTATAGTATATATACGTATTGTTTACCTCATTTTACGTCAAATGCTCACGCACGTGCTCTTCTCAATCCTCTTATCGATTTGTAATACATATACAATATACATATACAATATACATATATACCTTTAACTCGTAAGATATTCCCAAAGGTCAACTCACCAATTGTGACAATATTAACTTTTTGAAGCATTCTCTTTTATCTTATTTCCGATAATATGCCTTCATATTTGCATCGATATGTTTTTATAAAAGATAAAATTTCTAACATGAAATGAGCGTGAATAAATCGTTGGTCCGACGATAAACGAGGAAGGTTTTGAAGCACTGTATGGTCAATCACGCCACCACATTCTCATAAGCAGGTTCGTCGAATTAAATTCGTGAAAGCAATTTTATGTGTTGGGTAGATACGGTTGTATGTAATACACTTCTCTACGAACGGGCGCGCACATGGTACAGCACTTGTAATGTTCTGTCGTCATGCTATGAGTCATCAGCTACCTCGTCTCTATTCCCCTTGAAGTGAGAAAGATTGCGAAAACTGGCGTTCTATGTGTGCTTCTTACCGGCTCTGCGGAGACTTAAAACATTCCGCAAACTTCAGACAAAATTAATTGGTTCACCAATAATTACCGCCGTTGCTCCGCATCGGCATTTGTTTACATGATATGTATCTACCAGCTC